GATTCATTGCAGCTGCTGGTTCTCCCTGTCATGGTAACTGAGTGTGCCTCCTTTGAATGGCTGCTGCTTTAAGCTCTGTTTTCCCATCCACAGACCATGGCTCCTTGGCCTGAGGTGGAAAATGCCCAGCCCAACCCAAGTAAATACGTCGAAGGGGCCACTAGCCAAGATTCAGCTGCACCTGCAAAAGGCAAAGAGAGAGACCAAAGTAAGTGCCTCTCATCCAGCCCCAGACTGGCCTCCTGGGAGGACCCCAGGAGACACGTCCAACTCCTCCCTCATGGCCTTCATTGCTTGTTTGGGCAGATGACACCGGGACCCCTGTAACCAAGATTGAACTTCTGCCATCCTACTCCACTGTGACACTGATAGAGGAGCCCACAGAGGTGGAAGACCCCTGGGACCTGCCTGCGCTTCGGAATGCGGGGATCAAGTGGTCAGGTAAAAGTGAGGGCAGCTGGGCCAGGCTGGAGGGGACTGCCCATTGGCAAGGAATTGAGTTCCTATCTTCACAGTGTCACCTCTTTCGTGTCACCCTCCCCCTTTCCATTGTTCTCTGCCCCTTCAAACAAAGGTCCCAGCTGGGGATGCCCCCTGGCAGTCTTGGAGGCTTAGAGTCAAAGCCTGGTGTGATGACTGGGCATCTCTTGTTCTTTCTTTCATTCGTTCAACAAAGGTGCCAGGCACTGGGGTGATAACCAGGCCAGACATGGCACCGGTCCTTATAATGCATTTTGTGCTGACCAGGCCCCGGGTACTGTCAAGGTGCCCTGGATAGAGCAGTGAACAGATGAGGCCCCTGCTCTGAGAGCTCCTGGGTGAGGGTCCCCGCACCTAAACATGGCCACCAGGGTGGGCTTCCAGAAGACAGAGAAGGTACAGGCAGAATAGCCGGGTGCGAGCAAACGCTGCCTTTCTTTTTCAGGTGCAGAATATGAGGTCTGTTTGCAGATCACACAGCTGGTGTGGGCTGGGAAGGGAGCTGGGAGGCAGGGGGTGAGAACCACTTTAAAAGTGAGTGGAGGGGGCCAGCCCAGTGGCGCAGTGGTTAAGCGCGCGCGCTCCGCTGCAGCGGCCCGGGGTTCGCCGGTTCGGATCTGGGCGCGCACAGATGCACCGCTTGTCAAGCCATGCTGTGGCGGCATCCCATATAAAGTAGAGGAAGATGGGCATGGATGTTAGCCCAGGGCCAATTTTCCTCAGCAAAAAGAGGAGGACTGGCAGATGTTAGCTCAGGGCTGATCTTCCTCACACACACAAAAAGAGTGAGTGGAGAAGTCAGCAGCCAAGGATGTCGCATTCCGGGATGTATGAGGGCCCGGGCCCTCCCCAGATGGAGGCTGTGATTGCTACCTTGCAGCCACATTCTAGAAAATACTCTGTGCCGTTCTGAAGGTGCTTAGGAGAGCCGTTATCTCTGACCCCGCACTTAGATGGCAAGTGCTCTTAACGGCCTCACTCAGTGACCCTGGTTCGGCTGAGCCTGAGCCTCGTTTGCCTGTCTGTGCCCCAGACCACACTGAACCTCCCCTCCCCAATGCAAATCCTTTAGAGACACTTCACCACGGTTTCAACTAAATGGACGACATGGTAGTTGCTTGGAACACTGCAGCCACAGATGCGGTTGCGTCCCATCCCTAGGCCTTACATACAGAAGCTTACAGCCTCCTGGCCAGGAGCAGGGGTGGGGGAGTTCTGAGCTCATTGCCAAACTTCTCAGTGTTTCAGACACTAAAAGCCTTTGTTCCTTTCCCCTCCCCCAGAGAGAGACACCAAAGGGAAGATTCTCTGTGTCTTCCAAGGGATTGGGAAATTCATCTTGCTTCTGGGATTTCTCTACCTGTTTGTGTGCTCCTTGGATGTCCTCAGCAGTGCCTTCCAGCTGGTTGGAGGTATGGAGGAAAGGGTCAAAGTCTGGGGTGGGGGTGGGGGATTCTTAGTGAATTTGGTTCAGACCGTCAGAATGCAGCAAGCCCTCTCCAGCTGTAGCCTCCTGCAGTGTTTTAGGGCTGGAAGCCAGCTCAGAACATCTGGTGAAGCCTATGCCCCCATTTTACAGAGGAGAAAACTGAAGCCTATAAAGGGGCTATGACTGGCTGAGATGGCTTAGGCCAGGAGCCAGGGCTGGAGCCAGTTCCAAGCTGTCAACTCCTTGTGTTTGTCCACAAACCCTGGACAGGAAGCTGTTGGACATGAAGCCTTATCTAAGGGATCCCTGCTGTCTTTGGGCCTCCCCACCCGAGGAGATTATTGGAGAAGAGTGTTCTCTTAGGCCAAAGCAACCTCAAAAATCAAAGCTGAGCCTTTGCTGGAGAAGGACAGGGGTCCCCGGGCTGCGGGAATCTGCATCCATAGCAGTTGCCTAAACATCTCCCAGGACTGAGTGCGGCTATGCAGTGTGAGGGGGACCCAGAAGTGAAATCCTGTGCTTGGTCACCTTTTGTACCCAAAGTGGGTGACAACAGTGATAGCCAGCACTTTGAGTGCCTGCTGGGTGCAGGCATTTTCAGGGGCACTGTCTCGAACATTCCTTCCCAAAGCCCTTCCTATTTACAGAGGAGAGGACTGAGGCTCAAAGAGATCATTGCCCGGCCCTAAGGTTCACAGTCTGTAATTGACATAGTGGGGTTCAAACTCAGATCCGGGTGACACAGAAGACCATGGATTTCTGCACCCCTTGGTGCCTCTCTTGAGAACTCAAATCTTTGTGACCTGGGAGAATTGGGGAGAAGAGCACTTGTCAGGGAGCGTGAGGGGTGGACTGACTTCCTGGAAGCCACTTCTGGTCCTCCGGCTCCGATGCAGCATGAACGAGGGCTTCACTCTCTGACTGTCACAGACAAGTCACCTCCACTCTCTAGGCCTCATTCAATTATAGGCTGGGGTTGGGGGCTGGGAGGCTGGATAGATAAGATCTGTTCCTGGGCAATAAATCTTCTAAATTGGGAATACATCCCAGAGACAGGAATTAGGGCATCAGGAGGCTCACTGGCACCCATCGGGCCAAGTACAGAGTCGAGGCCAGGTTCGTGACCAGAGAAGGCCAGAGGACGGCTTGCTCATGGAGAGGTAGGCGCTTAGGAGATTGAGGGGATAAGTGGAACAACGGGTGGGGAGTGGCGGGAGTAGGTCACAGAAGTGGAGACATGGCATCAGGGCAGCACTAGGAAGAAGCATGAGGAAGCAAGACGCCATAGGTACAAGCATGGCTGGGGGCTAGGCTCCCCAACCCACAGCCAGGTGGCCTTGGCTGGAGACTTCTGTGTACTCTGCATCCACCCAACCCCCATCATGTGCCATGGGTTTGTTTTTCAGGAAAGGTGGCCGGGCAGTTCTTCAGCAACAACTCTATCATGTCCAACCCCGTGGCAGGGCTAGTGATCGGGGTGCTGGTGACCGTCCTGGTGCAGAGCTCCAGCACCTCCTCGTCCATCATCGTCAGCATGGTGGCCTCCTCACGTGAGTCCAGGCACCCACCCACAAGCCCAGACACAATCCAGGCATTTCCCTGTCCAGCTGGGGAGCCTGGGATTCACTCTGAATACGTGCGGGCTTGTCACCATTATCTTCCTATCTTGTCCAACTGTGATGTCTTGTACTTTCGATCCCAGGCAGCCTGCTGTTCCCATTTCCATAGCTGAGTCTGATAATAGACCCCAATGCTTGAAGAGTCAGCTCTGAATTATCTAGAACTGTGCCGTCCAGTCCAGCAGCCACTAGCCACATGTGACTATTTAATTTTATTGAACCTTAATTGATTTTAATTTAAAATATAAAATTCAGTTGCTCAGTTGCACTAGCTATCTTTCAAGGGGTCACTAGTCAAATGTGGCTAGTGACTGCCATATCGGACAGTGTGGATATAGAATATTTCCATCCCTGCTCTCACTGTTAAGAATAAAGATCTCGGGGCCGGCCCAGTGGCTTAGCGGTTGGGTGCGCACGCTCCGCTGCTGGCGGCCCGGGTTCGGATCCCGGGCGTGCACTGTCGCACTGCTTCTCCGGCCATGCTGAGGCCGCGTCCCACATACAGCAACTAGAAGGATGTGCAGCTATGACACGCAACTATCTACTGGGGCTTTGGGGGAAAAAATAAATAAATAAAATTAAAAAAAAAAAAAAAAGAATAACGATCTCTCAGGGGCCGGCCCCATGGCTTAGCGGTTAAGTGCGCGCGGTCTGCTACTGGCGGGCCTGGGTTCGGATCCCTGGCACACACCGACGCACCGCTTCTCCAGCCATGCTGAGGCTGCGTCCCACGTACAGCAACTAGAAGGATGTGCAGCTATGACATACAACTATCTACCCGGGCTTTGGGGAAAAAAAAACAAGGAGGAGGATTGGCAATAGATGTTAGCTCAGAGCCGGTCTTCCTCAGCAAAAAGAGGAGGATTAGCATGGATGTTAGCTCGGGGCTAATCTTCCTCACAAAAAACAAACAAACAAACAAAAAGAATCAAGATCTCTAATCACATCACACATTGGTTTTGGGACAACTGAGCTTGCGGAGCTGGTGCTCCAAACTTGAACCTGCCTGATATTCCTAGTCTGCTGAAATGAGACAGACCCCCCCCCCCCCGAAGGGGAACCAGTTTGAACTGGTTGATTTTCAGCCCAAACCAGCATTTTAGCCAAAATTAACTAGAATCTTTTCTGAGCCAAATTAGAAAAAGGTATTACTTCAAAATACATTATGTTCACGTGTCAGAACATTGTGGCAATATACTAATTTTGTTAGAAAGAGAAATTATACTGCTGAGAATCTGCCATAATAAATACACAAGTATTTAAACATTGTTTCCTAGTCTCCCTTCAGCTGGCCTTGCTTCTGTCACAGGGGGCAGAGAGGAATTTAGAAAGGCACCTTTACACTGGGATCCACAGAAGGGCTTCCTGGAGTCTGTGGATCCCCTGAAATTAGGTACTGGAAATTTTTTTGGATACACGCGCACATTTCTGTGGTGGGCTGCCCCAGCTTTTATCAGATTCACAGTGAGTGAGGTACAGACCCCAAAGAGGTTAAGAACTGCTTTAGGGAATTACCAGGCTGAATGAGGAACATCAGGAACATGGTCAGCTGCCTCCCTAAACTTGCTAACTTGCCAACCTCCTCTTTCCCCACCCTCCAGTGCTGACCGTGCGGGCTGCCGTCCCCATTATCATGGGGGCCAACATTGGGACCTCAATCACCAACACCATCGTGGCGCTCATGCAGGCAGGAGACCGGAATGAGTTCAGAAGGTAGGAGGCTCAGAACCAGCCTTTGCCACCATCAGGCCCATCGGTTTGGCCAGTTTGTTGTAACTCCCTTTAACTAGCCAGTGAGAGCATGCTTGTCGTTCCTGGAGCTCGGAGAAGCAGCCGCAGTGGAGCACAGCTGGGGGCTGGGATCATACGCTTACCAGCAATTAAACTCAGCTTCCTGGTCTGCATGGCAGGGATAATAATGGTATCTATTACCACTGTGTTGTCTAAAGGATTAAACACAACCATACAGGTAAATGCTTAGCAAGGTGCCTGGCAAACCCTAGCTAGAAGCTTACCTCCAGCCTGGTGTAGTTAAAACAAGGGCAGTTAGGGTAGGCTTTACTGTCCCGCTTAGTCATAAATAATTATAACCTCCAAAAGCTTCCATTTTCGGCTAACTCGACACATGCCACTTTTTCTTTATCTTCACTGCGTGCCAATAAAAGGCAAAATGTAGGTTTCATGGATGTGTGAGATCTGAAAATGGGGCGGGTTGAATATAGGCAAAGGGAACCCTTTGCTTCCAAAAGGTTAATGTGAAAATTAAACACATTTCCCAGCCTCTCTTCTAACTGGTGAGGGGCTTTTTGCAGAGTTTATTAAAGTATAAAAGCAGTTACCAGCTTGTCCGCATGATGCGCTCACTGTGCGGGTCAGGCAGACGGCGTTCAACAGGTTGGTTGGGGAGCCAGCACCGTCATCCCTAGTCCCTCGGTGAATCGGCAGGCAGCGATGTCCTCAGAGCCATCCACTTCCCCTGAGACACCGCTAACCTCCTTTGGTCCCTGATGCAATGTCCTGAGAATTGCAACAATATTACACATTATCCAGGGTGTTTGTGAATTTGATCTTCTCGAGAAGTGGAGTAGGCTTTTTTATGCCCCATTTGTTAATGTGGAAATACAAAGAGGTTAAGCAACTTCACTGAGAGACTCGATCCAGGTTTTCTTATTCCAGATTTTCTTATTCCAGATTTTGGGTTCTTTACACACTAATTTTTTCTGGATAACCTATGAAATATAAACATAAGATCTGTGAAGGTGCCTGCACATGGGAATATAATTGACCTAGCTCCTCTGGTGTGGGATGTTTGATTAGATTGCTGTTGGTAACGTCTTTGGGGATGTGTATCTTTCTTTCCTGATGGTTTGGATTATGTCCTTAGATAGATTCCTAGAACGATAATTACTATATCAAACACCTGCAAAGCTCTTAAAACATTTTGCCAAACTACTAAGAAATATTTGTATCACTTTATATCAGCAGTATATGAAAAAGTCTTAAATCACCCTCTCCAGGAAGAAAAAGTTACTTTTTAAAATATTAGCTAATACGGTAAGTGAAAATTTGTACTTGCAAGTAAATGAATCGCAAATAAATTTCTTTTACTACTAGTGAATTTAAGCATTATCCCTCACGTGTTTATTAGCCTCTGTCTGTTCATATCCCATGTCCCATTTGGTTTTGGGTGTTTTTTGACATGCAGATGTTTTTTAAAGGGAAATTTTTTTCATTGAGGAAAAAACTAGAGTTTCTTAGTCTGGAGATAGATAGGATGGAATTCAGGGAGAATCTGTGAATCTTCTCAGATAGATGCAAATTGTAGTATATATTAGCCTTGTTTCCTGTGGAGACTGTTCAGATATTTCATCAGAGTTTCAAGATCTTAAAAAAAAAAGGTTGAGGAGGCCGGTCCGCTGGCATAGTGACTAAGTTCGCAGGCTCCTCTTCGGTGGCCTGGGGTTCACAGGTTCGGATCCCCAGCACGGACCTATGCACTGCTCCTCAAGCTGTGCTGTGGCAGCATCCCACGTATAAAGAAGAGGAAGACTGGCATAAATGTTAGCTCAGGGACCATCTTCCTCAACCAAAAAGACAAAGATTGGCAACAGATGTTAGCTCAGGGCCAATCTTCCTCACCAAGAAAAAGGGGTTAAGAATTCAGTTGTGTAGAGGGCTTTGATGGTTACCATCATACTGGTCCCCACCTTTCCAAAGGAAGGGTGTCTTCAATATGCATGATTCAAAAGTGGTCTTGATGCAATTCTTCCAAACAGTGGTCACAGAACTAATTATTGTAACACATCTAGTTCCCTTTTTCCCAAGAGCAGAGCACTGAGTGCTGTCTGATCTTGTGGGAAAGGCTCTGCCAGACAGTGGGACGCAAGGATCCTGGACTCAGCACCCATGCAGTGGCCTTCAATTCCCCTGTGCTTGCTGGTCCCTCAGTTTCCTCATCTGTCAATGGGGATATTGATATCACCCACTTTGGAGAATGCTGTGAGAACAAAAATGACGTTGCACACATGTGTGTGCACAGATAGGTGACACCTGGCAGATGACACAAGTAATGACCTGCCTAGATTGGTACCCACTTGCTCCTTGACTAATCTGGCCATTGGCTCGGGGTGGGGTTCCCCTCCCATAGGGCTTTTGCGGGGGCCACCGTCCACGACTTCTTCAACTGGCTCTCCGTGTTGGTGCTCTTGCCCCTGGAAGCTGCCACCCATTATCTGGAGATCCTGACCGACGTGGTGGTGAAGAGCTTCAACTTCAAGAATGGAGAAGATGCCCCAGCACTTCTGAAAGTTATCACAGATCCTTTCACAAAGCTTATTGTCCAGGTACCCAGCTTCCTTCAGAGAGGGAAAGGAGCTAACTCCCTCCCCATTTCCCCCTACCGGCCTCAGTGCAGCAGAGATGGTGGAGAAGGATGATTATAAACACTACTCTGTGGCTGCCTCTGAAAAAGGCCAAGGGAGGCGGAACTTCCTCTGGATAGAGTCATTGGCCTTTTTGGTTTCCTTGACTTCAACACGTGTCATCTTTATTGGGGTGGGGACAGACGGGTGACAGTGCCTCTCAAGACTCAAGGACTCTCCATTGGACACTTGGGACCACTTTATTCCTACTACTGACCTCAGCATCAGTGGGCTCACCAATAAAGTATTATCCTACTCCTAGCCAAAGAGGAAGTTTCCTGCCCTTTCCTTCCATCTCACCCCTCTGGTCACTAGAGTCTGTCTGTATTATTGAAATAAATGAAAGAAGGCTTTGTGGATGTTGCCTGGGGAGAAAAGGGCAGCTTCGAACTTGTCCATTCACTCTTACCTTCTGGTTTTCTCTGTCATTCACTCACCAGTGAATATCTTTGGGCTGCTTCCTAGATACCAGTCTGTTCTTCACACAGTCCTTTGTTTATTTATCAAGCACCTGCTGATGTCTGGGTGCCGTGCTCCATCCTGGGAGTGCAGATAGAGAGTCCCAACTCACTCCTGCAGGGGCTCACAGTCGGGTTCATGTCCTCAGAGCCCCTCTTAACAGCAACCCCCACATGTCCACCCCATATCAGTCCGGAGGACATGCTGACTCTCTTCTGTCTATTGCCTTTCTCAGCTGGATAAAAACGTTATCAACCAAATTGCGCTGAGTGATGAAACAGCCAAAAACAAGAGTCTGATCAAGATTTGGTGCAAAACTTTGACCAACGTGGTAAGTTTCTAAGAACATTGCAGGGTGGGTGAATTCTTGGCATCCATACTTTAAGCAAAACTTTTCATTCAAAGTGGGAAAGTGGGCAAATAAAAGGTAAGGGAAAAGAAAATTAGGGACTCCTGAAAAATCAAAACTGGCCAGTGAGAATCCTTAAGGAAACGAGTGCGTAAATGCTGGATGGACAGACAGAATGCAGTAGGACAGACAGACCCCCTTTTGCCCCATCCTGCACCACGGACACATTATTCCTGGCTTGTCATTATTTTCATGGCTCTTGGCTTATCTCTGGCTGCCTCTCTGTTTCCATTTATGGAAGGACCCATGGAAACAGCACACCGAGCTCACAGATGCACACACTGATGTGTGTCTCCCTCCTGTTACCCGCATTGCATGCCACTCCCCACCAAAAGTGAGTGCTGTGGACTAGATACACCCTTTCTCGTATTTACCATCCAGACTCAGATGAATGTCACCGTCCCCTCGCCTGAGAACTGCACCTCCCCTTCCCTCTGTTGGACGGATGGCGGCTCCACCTGGACCATCAAGAACGCAACCCACCAGCAGAACATTGCCAAATGTGAGTGGAACTCGGCAGAGCATCAGCCGCCCGGACGGGATGTCTGGGGTACTGACGGGGGTTTCTTCTCTGTGTGGAGCCCCAAGTGAAGGAAAGAAGGGCAGTAAGATTCACTGAGCACCAACCCGACACTGGGCAATGAGCCACGTGCTTTCACAGTGGAGGAAACTAAGGCTTAGGGGTCAGGTGACAAGCATAAGATCCCACGGTAAAGGGTAGAACTAGCACTTGAAGCCCAGTGACTCTGGCAGTTCCATACTGTCTGAGAACTCACCAGCAGACTCCAGAATGCTCCTCCGTGTGCTTCGGTATCCCTTTGACAGTAACTTTAGGGAGATGACAGACAGATTTGAAGGAGATGTGGGGCCCGCAAAGATCAAGTACATTGACCCTCAAGTCATGAGTCCCTACTGTCCAGCAGGCCCCGTTCAAGGCACTGAGGCTATAGTACTGGACAAGGGAGTGCGTCTACATGATGCTCCGAGTCTTTATGTACGATTGCCCCTGGAATCTTTTCCCACCTAGACATCATTAGTTCTTCTAATTATTCCTTTTATACCCATTTGTATATCTCTGCATCTCCTCCTCCACTCCATGCCCCCCACATTAATTCTGAGCAGTATACCTTGACACTCCAGGTGTGGTTTATCTCATAGAATCCAGTGAACTTATCACCTCCCAGGTTCTGGGTGCTATACATCCATTGGTATAACCATGTTTTGCTGGAGTCGTCATGGGGACACACAGGGACTTTTAAAAAACAAGAAGTTTTACAATTAGCAATAGTTCCTACTCTGACTCTCCCATCCTACTCCCCTTTGCTCTTCATTTTGTTGTGAGTATCCTCAGTATCATGAGTAAAACACAGCATGGGATTTAGAGATAGAAGAACGGGGCGGGAGGCCTGGGCCTGCCCCTGCCTAGCTGTGTGACTTTAGATTTCACTTCATCTTCCTACCTCATGAGATCCCATGGGCAGACCATAGCCTCAGGGCTACACTTGCCTCTAAGGGAGGCTGGGAAGTGTGATCTTTATTCTGGGCTGCCCTGTGATAAGCTAACAATCAAGATTCTGTTGCTATGAGACAGAAGGATGTTGGGGAATAAATAACAATCTGTGGACTTGCGGGGCTCCATGCCCTCCTAACAAGAGCTTTCCCTCCTCTCTTCAGGCCAGCACATGTTTGTGAATTCCAACCTTCCGGATCTTGCTGTTGGCATCATCCTGCTGATACTCTCCCTGCTTGTCCTCTGTGGCTGCCTGATCATAATCGTCAAGCTCCTGGGCTCCGTGCTCCAGGGGCAGGTGGCTGTTGTCATCAAGAAGACCCTCAACACTGGTAGGTGCACTGTCTCCCATTCTGGGCCTTCTAGGGGATGACATCGCTGTGGCCACCCCAGGGGTCTCCTTGAGATTCTCATCTAGCTATGGCCTCTGCATGGGAGTTTCTTTCTGAATCTGACAAGCTGCAGAAGTTAAGATGCCATTCGCTCTTGAAATCTTCCTTGGTGTCTTGAGCAGGTACAAGCCTCCATCACAGGTTTGCAAGGTCCTGAGAAAGAGCCATCTCAAATCCAGAGAGCTGTGACATAGGCCTTCCTTCCTGGCAGTTTTCCTATATGCTAAGGACTTGACTGGGTCTGTCAGGATCCCTTAAGGATAACAGATTCCCACCCTGGTCCCCACTTCCCTCCTACTCTTGGGAAGAAGATGTGGTTCTGGATAAATACATCAGCATTGTGAGGCAGCCAGTGTGACTCTACCAGCCAAGAGGAGCTCCTGCTGAGCACGGCATCCTGGCCAATGAGAGCCAACCTAGCCAAGGACACCACAACCCCGTGAAATCTCAGTGAAACGGGGCCAACCGTATCTACCTCCTGGGGTTGTCATGAGGTTGTCGTGAGGGTGAGCTGAGTGGCTCTGGGTGCTCGCTGGGTGTGCAGGGCCTGATCCTGTGTCAGTGGTGCAGAGGGCTGTGTTTGTCAGGCTTCCAAGCGGCTGCATTTCCTTGGTGCTCCTTTAGGTGGAAACAAAGGTGGGGGGTATGCAGTGTTGGGAGGCCAGGACTGGAGGAAGGATGGAGGTCCAAGTGCTCCAAGTGCCTTGTGGGAGGGGGGTGGTTATCTGGGTGGTGTCTTAGTCCGTTCAGCTGCTGTAACAAATGACCATAGACTGGGCGGCTTAAACAACAGTAATTTGTTTCTCACAGTCCTGGAGGCTGGGAGGTGCGAGATCAGGGCACCAGCATGGTCGGGTTCTGGTGAGGGCCCACTTCTGATTTACAGATGGCTGCCTTCTCAGTGTGCCCTCACGTGGAGCAGAGTGGAGAGGCAGCAAGCTCACTTCTGTAAGGGCACTAATCCATTCACGGGGCTCCACCCTCATGACCTAATCACCTCCCAAAGGCCCCACCTCCTAAGACAATCACATTGGAGTTAGGGGTTCAACATATGCATTTGGGGAGGACACAAACATTCGGTCTATAACAGATGGGTTCAGCATGTTTCACCTCTGACCTCCTGTGAATATGTGTTTTTGTCTTCATAACCACGTCCTTGGTTCCGCCATCTGAATATGCAGGGTGAAAGGATTCTAAAAATCCAATTTGCAATTTCAGACCATGGCGTGGGGTGGGAAGGCATCTATACAACCTAACCTTCTAGCCCAGCGCATGCCCCTGTGGAGTCCTGTGGAGGTGCCAGCTGGGCCTCCAACCCATGCCTTCCCCAGAAGGGTTGTAACAGATACATTTTCCTCCCGTCTTCCAGATTTCCCCTTTCCCTTTGGCTGGGTGACTGGCTACCTGGCCATCCTCGTGGGGGCGGGCATGACCTTCATCGTGCAGAGCAGCTCCGTGTTCACATCTGCTCTGACCCCACTGATTGGTGAGTCTCTCCCTGGCTTCTCCCTTTGGCTGCCACTACCATCTCCCATCATCCCTTGGGGCTGATGCTATGGGCTTTGTATTTTTCCTCCAGGTATCGGTGTGATAAGCATTGAGAGGGCGTATCCGCTCACGCTGGGCTCCAACATCGGCACCACCACCACCGCCATTCTAGCCTCCTTAGCCAGCCCAGGCAGTACTTTGAGGAGCTCACTCCAGGTCAGGAAATGCTGCATGGGCCAGGGGCTCTGTGGGTGCATTCAGCCCCATCCGTGGTATTGCAAGCAGATGGTTTCTAACAAGAGCCAAGCTTTTTCCTGTTATGTCCAAAACTGTAATGTGGAGGAGACAGATTTGCAAACAGTCAAAGCCATCTATTCCTCAGAGGGGTAATGAGACTTCCATCACTAGTGGTTGTTTAAACAAAGGCGGGGTGGCCACTTGATAGCTGTAGAAAGAATATTCAGGAAGCATGGACACCACTTCCTGTCTCCTTGCCCCGTCTTGGGGAACTCTGCCTGGACATTGGGAGATCGCCTGTGGCCTAGGCCTGGCAGTACAAGAAGAATCAGGGGGACCTGCCTTGCCTGGATCAAGCAAGTGAACTTGGGCAAGAAGGCTTTTGGCATTTGAATCCTTGTCCCTCCACTTACACACTAAGTTACCTTAGACAGGTGACCTAACCTTCGAGCATCAATTCCGTCATCTGAAAAATGGGAACCATGATCCCTATCTCATTAGGATTATTATAAAGATCTGATGGGGTGCTGTCTGAAGTTGTGGTGTCCAACAGAAATATAATGTGAGTACAGAATATAAATGTGAGCTGCCCATGTAATTTGAAATTTTTTAGTAGCCACATTTTTAAAAAGAGAAAAGAAACAGGGAGATCAATTTGAATAGTGTGTTTGATTTAACCTGCTGTCCTTTCAACATGTGATCAATAGAAAAAAATTGGTGAGATATGTTACATTCTTTCTTGGACTAAGTCTTTGAAATCCAGTGTGTATTTTACACTTACGGCGCATCTCAATGTGGAGTAGCCACATTTCAAGTGCTCAGTTGCCACACGTGGCTGGCTAGTGGCTAATGTATTGGACAGGGCTGGTCCAAAGTCCCTAGCATGATGTCTGGCCCCCAGGGGGCACATTTCGGAAAGTGGTACAGTGTGTGGCCTTTGGAGCCTGGCCACCTGGGTTTGAATCCCACCTCTACCATCTGCCACCTGTGTGACGTTGGGAAAATAGCACCTCATGGTGCCTCAGTTTCCTCCTACATCAAATGGGGACTACAAAGGTTGTCATCTCCTAGGATATTTTTTGACGATTGAAGTAATTCACATAAAGTGCTTAGAACAGCTGCCTTGCACAGAGCGAACACTCCATAAACATCAGTTGCTGCTGCTATTATTTTTTAATTAGCTGTAACCATCCTTCCTGCACTCTCCCTTTCCAGGAGTGGGGCCATTGAGCCAAGAGAGCCAGCTATCCTGTAAGCCTTTCCTTCTGCCCCACCAACTCTTAACTGCTCACCTGGATGCCACAGGGCCAAGACACTGGGTGTCAGTGGGCACATTCATGAGGTTCATTGTTAGATTTTGCCTAAAGGACTTCAGGATCTGAAAACTAAGCTGTGATTCAGTGGGTCACCTCCCTTGCCCTCCCTCCCCTTGCCCCCAGACATATAGTAGGTCCTCAGGTGATGCAGGTCTCCCTCTGGACTGAGCTATGAAGTCAAGGAAGACCCGTGACTCTCTACTGATGCCCACTAGGTGAAGCCCTTCTCCCAGCTCCCACCACACAACAGACCCATTCACCTGTCCAACCTCTTGTGTTTCAGATTGCCCTGTGCCACTTTTTCTTCAACGTCTCAGGCATCTTGCTGTGGTACCCAATCCCATTCACCCGTCTGCCCATCCGCCTGGCCAAGGGGCTGGGCAACATCTCAGCTAAGTACCGCTGGTTTGCCATCTTCTACCTGATCTTCCTCTTCCTCCTGGTCCCGCTGGCAGTGTTTGGCCTCTCCCTGGCTGGCTGGCCGGTGCTGGTGGGCGTGGGGGTGCCCATCGTCTTCATACTCCTACTGGTGGTGGTCCTCAGGCTCCTGCAGTCCCGCTGCCCACGCGTCCTGCCCAGGAAGCTCCAGAACTGGAACTTTCTGCCCTTGTGGCTGCACTCGCTGAAGCCCTGGGACCGCCTGATCTCCCTGCTCACCGACTGCTGCCGGACGCGCTGCTGCTGCTGCTGCCGCGTCTGCTGCCGTGCCTGCTGCCTGATGTGCGGCTGTCCCAAGTGCTGCCGCTGCAGCAAGTGCTGTGAGGACCTGGAGGAGGTGCAGGATGTCCCCGTCAAGAGCCCCCAGGCCTTCGATAACTTGGCCATGAGCAAAGAGGCCCAGGATGAGGTCCCCAAGTCCCAAGTGGGTGCCCTGGAAACAAAGACCACCTCCAGCGGCACAGCCTTATAGGGGCTTCCCAGCGGTGGGAGGAGGGGCCCCAAGTCCCATGTGCTCATGCTCTCTTCTGGTTCTACATGCTTTTGTCCACCCCATGAGGATTTGTCCCCCATTGAGAAATGGAGTCGACGTCAGTCCGGACTCTCATTTCCCTTCACCCAGTGTATCAGCCACGTAGTAGTTTCATCTCAGCCCCTGTGCCCTGGGTCTTCCCCTCCCAGAAAACCACAGAACAACACTGAAAGAGAATTAGACAATGGAACCCAGCTAGAAGAGATGATCACACACACCCCTGCACACAGCTGGATTCGTCAATAGGACTTATATTCAGACTCAAACCATCCTCTTCCAAAGGAAAAGCCCCAAGGGAGGAATTTATGGAAGGTTCTCAAAGCTGACATACATACATATATGCTTTTCTTTATTGTGATAAAGCTCAGACATCTCTTTTACCAAAGCCTGGCTTCAACCAAGAGCAGCTGCTCCCGGGCGTCCTTGCCCCAGACCAGCCCAGGTCAGGGGAAATGATGTATTTGTTTGGAGAAGACCACAGGTGGGGATCTTTCCCACTTCCCAGTGCTCCCCAAATCCCCTGTCAGGGGTTTCTCACCTGGGCAGGTATAGCTGGCCCAGCAGTTTCCCCTCTGTGTCCTCAAGTTTCCAGGATGGGAGCCACATCTGAGCTACAGAGGAAGGTTCAGGACACGCTTTGGCTCACCTCTCGCTCCATCTTCCTAAGAGAGTGGTCCTGTTCCTGATCTGGGCAATGAGGATGAGAGCTAAGTAATGGCGAGCGTGTGAGGGAGATGGTTTCTCTACCCAAAGGGCCTCGAGTTCTTCTTAAGTTGTCTGATTTAGAAGCCAAATTGCCATTGTGGGTAAAGCCTAGTGCCGCTCTCTTGGTCAGATAGAAAGCAGCCCTGTTGAGTCTTCTGGAATAAGATATGCAGGTTCCCTAAGTCCTCTCCACTGCTGCCGCCTGAATCCCAGGAAGCGCCTGATTGTGGAACAGCTCTACGTTTCTCTCTGTCTCTAGCCTCCCTGTGCGCAATGACTGTCTGAGTCAGCTTTTGGTGGTCAGCTTCCATCCAGCCATCCACCCAGCCATCCAAGCCAGAACCTCTTTCCACACGTTCTCCCATATTACCCTAGATAGACGAACTTTGATTTCCTTCCCCCTTTCTGTGCCTGCAAAGCTCAAAACTTTTCTCCGAGGGCGAAAAGCGGGGCGTGCTGGACTGCCCACAGAACTGTGGTCATCACGTAGCAGTGGAGGTCTGTGTGTGTCTGTGAGTCCAAGGGACGTGCTCCCTCTTGCCCCAGATGCCTTCTCTGTGCCTTCTCGAGCCTTCTGTTGTATTTACACCTCCTCCTTCCACTGCTCCTCACCCTAAGCAATTCCAGTCCTCCCCAGAGACCGATCTTTGACCGAGTCTGGGAAAGGGAGGTTGGTGTAGCCACACTCTAGACCCTACCCTCCCCCATTTTAGCTTATAAGTCATCCTAACAGGTTGGGGAACCAAACTGAGCCCTCCCCGAACCTTCCCCCGTGTAAATACTGTTTCCCAAACAGAGCCATTTATACTCTATATTTATGGTTGCACACTTGTACAGCATTTTTCGTAAGTTATACAGTAAATAGTGTGATTTGTGTTTTATAGTGCTCTCATTTGGAAATGAGGCTGGGTTCTACTATGAAACAATAAAGAAAGACTGCCTTTGTATATTTTGTAATACCATCTTTTTAGCATGTCTCTGTAGCCATGCCCTTGCCACACACCCTGTAAATATGTAAGTTAAACCTGGGTGGGGCTGTGGCCCTCTTTGCACTCTGATTTTTAAAAATTGAATCCTTGTATCTGTGTTTACTGTATTTTTTTTACTGGTTGTGGGAAGGGAGAAATAAAAAATAATCAAACCCAAAAGGAATGCGTTGCTTTCAATCAAACCCAAAAGGAATGCATTGCTTTCAATTACAGGGAAATAGGGGCCTCCTTTATCTATTTCCTAGAAATGTGAGTTCTCTTCCCTCACTTAATGTCACTACCCACCACCCCACCACTAAGGCCAGCCACATAATTTCTGGCCATGACAGGTACCAAATATAAAGCTCTCCTTTCTTCTATGGTCTCATGATTTTTAAAAATTTGCTATTTAACGCTATTTAAAGTAAAAAAATTTAAGTTATTACATGAATTTTACAGTTCATCTTTATATTGTGTGATGCCAATTTAAAATTCAAATATAAGAGCTTTTAACTTGTACGCAGAATGGCTGGAATTACACAACTCATATTTTGTATCTCATACGTGTATTTCATTCCTAACAGAACAGCGGAAACTGCACAAAGCTAACTCAGTTGTTTCTATTTCTCTTCTTGATGTGTGCACGTTCTACCTGTACTCTGTACCTTACCGAAAGTAAGGAAGCAGTGCAAGGAGGAGGAACTAGGGGCTGCCCTTTCCTTCCATGTCATCATTTTCAGCCGAAGTGGCTGGCTCGCACAGGGAAGTACTCGTGAGAAAGGATGTCATAGGGTTCCTTAGTGATTTCTTTTGTAGTGTTCAAAGAAAGTTCTTGTTTGAATGGAAAGTATGGCCTCTTGGGGCTGTCAGTGCCCCCACTCACTCAGTTGTAGACATAACACACTCACCTTGTACTTGGTTATGAGTCTTACCACCCTCCCTCTCGTGGGTCTACTGGAAGTCTGTACTCGTGGAGCATTGCCAATGCTATGTGTGAGTGAGGTGGCAAGGAACTATGGGCATATATATTGCCCATTCTCTGCTCAAGTGCCTGTTCCCTTGTCCCATTGGACTTCACTTACAAAACTAAGTTAAAAGATAAAATTATGAATTTTGGGACTCTAATAGTACAGCATTTCAGTGAAGTATGAGACCCTTCTTCTTCCTTTTTTTTTTTTTTTTTGGCGAGGAAGATTAGCCCTGAGCTAACATTTGTGCCTGTCTTCCTCTACTTTATATGGGACGCCGCCACAGCATGGCCTGACAAGCAGTGCATCAGTCTGTGCCTGGGATCCAAACCTGTGAACCCCGGGCCACCAGCACACACACTTAACCGCTGTGCCACCGGGAGGATGAGGCCCTTCTGAGTGTGGGGTCTTATGTGACTGCATGCTCAAGAAGCCAGCCCTGCCCACCACCCCATGCCAGCCAAAATACAGTGTTAGGGAAGAGTTGATTTAAATTAAGAAATGTCTGCAGGAGGACTCTAAATTGATAGCACCTCTCTAGGACAGCTGGAGCATGTGCAGAGGGCTGTAGAGTGGGGCTGAATTATGGGTTGGGATCACTTGGCGAGCTGGGTTCCTCTCCTGGCTCCGTCATTTACCAGCAAACCTGTCAAGCTTTCTCAGTGTTAATTTCCTTGCCTGGAATATGGGACACAAACACATGGCTTCCTATGATTATTAAAATGAGTTGATGGTGCGTAAATATTTAGTTCAGGGTTTACTGTAAGTGCTTGGCATATAGCCGTAACATAGGAGACCAACAGGCATTGCATTTGTACAAGATACACATCCCACACTTGTTGGCATTTTTCGTTCTCTGAGTATTTCCACAGTGAAATGCCAAATCAAAAAACTGCTATCAGCCAAAGCCACAGAGGCCAGAGCTGGACTTGGATTCGTCATTAAGAGGAGCTGGATGGGTGTCATGTGACTCATTTGCAAATGGAGCTGGGGTCAGTAGGAGGGCTGGGCTAAGAAGCAGCCTGGAGACAGGATGCAAAGAACACTTGGCATTTCAGAAACAAACTGTCCTGTTGTCCTCTAATGAGAGACGCACTTTCTAGTCCCAACCTAGGACGCAGAGGTGGGCATTGTTTTAAAAGGTTTTTACCTTCTTTTTGTCAATGTTAAAAATCCAATAGTTGTAGAGAGTTTACAACAGTTGACATTGTCGTTTGCCCCATCCCTCCCCACACTCCTTTCTGGCTCCTCAGAAGCTGCCCTTTTCAACGTTTTACATACTTTCTTCTGGCATTTTGCTCCATAAGCATCATATGATTATGATGGTTTTTCTTGTGCATCTATTCACCTATTTATCAGTAAACGAGGTTTAGCTCTCACATCATCCCCCTACTGCTGCCCATTTTCCAAACCAATAGTCAATATTTACATTATTAAGATTACACAATTGTGATAAATTGCAGAACTAAGTAGTGGACCAACACTATTTGCTTTAATTGTTTTCATCAGTGCTATCAAATATCTATAAATATTTTTTTCCCAATTGCTCCAAACTGTCTGATAACCTTTTGTTTTATTTCTTTTCTTTCATTTTTTCTTTTTTTAAGCCTTTATCCTCTTGACCCCATATGGAATAGTGGTTCTGTCCACCATTCGAGCAGCTTCATCTTGGGCTCTGCCACTCTCCTAGGATGGATACCTTGTTTTCTTGAGTTCATATTTTATTTACTCTCTAGTTTGCTTGGATTACCCAAGAAAGAGTACAAAAGAAATAAAATTTTTGAGTCCATGTGTGTGTGAAAATTTGTTTTATTCTCGTAGCCCAAAAAAGCCCATCCCAAACTGCTGACCTATAGTATGAGCAAATAAAATGTTGACGGTTTTTAAGGCACAAAGTTTTGAGGTTGTTTGTTACACAGCACTAGGTAACTGATACAGAACCCAGCTGTTCAAAGTGTAGAATTTTACTTATGTCTAATGTTTTATCTGCACCTCATTTCCTTTCACTTGTCTTTACCATGGCTCCTTTGGCTTAATTCCTTCAAGAATAAGTCTCCTATCTCCTGCCTAGAGTGGTGGAGATCAGGGGTGCATTATTTAATTATTAGCTTTGGCTTAATGTCATTGTTTGTCATATTTTCAGAATAAATCATCCTCCTCAGGTACTGTCTAACATATGGCCTGTGAGTAGAGTATAAATTATGCTGCCATGAAGCAGAGTTATGCCTTCTTATTTGGCTCAGGTTAATTACACAGGATCCAAAGGGGTTCTGGGATCTGCACGTTGGTGATAAGATTATAGTTTTACATTCTTTGCTTCATTGGAGTCTTAGAGAGTGAGTTGACAACATCTCTCCCTTCCCTTATAGAATTTGGAATCAACTGAAAAATAAGACACAGGTGCCAGTCCGGTAGCATAGTGGTTAAGTTTGCACACTCCACTTCAGCTGCCCGGGGGTTCGAGGGCCCATATCCTGGGCTTGGACCTACACACCACTCATCAAGCCATGCTGTGGCAGCGTCCCATGTACAAAATAGAGGAAGATTGGCACAGATGTTAGCTCAGTGACAATCTTCCTTAAGCAAAAAGAG